ATAGGCTAAAATCATAGCTCTATTGAAAAAGGAAAGATTAGATCATTTATGTGTACCGTGATAGCTTCCTTGAAAACCACTAGCATGTTTTTTGGATCACCACGTCAAACAATTTCAGTAGAGCACTTTTCAGACAAATCAGTAAATCAGACTCCGCTTTGTCTATATTTTGATCCTACAGTAATGTCCTGTCATGGAAAATGGCTGTGATTTTTGTCACGATGGTTTATTCCCAATGAATAGCTTATTCTGAACTTCGCGTTCCTCACAGTGAGAAACTAAGCTATGGGTTGAGCTTGCCTCTGGAAATACATTTTCAATCAAATTTGGTTCTATAACCCATTTGTGAACAAACCAACTATAGAGTTTGTAGGGGAGGACTTCTTCTTAGGATATCCGTGCAATCTGCCATCAAAACCTTTTTAAAACATTTTTGAATAGGAGAAAAACGACATGAGCTTATCTGACAACCCAATAGTATGCTTGAAGACAATACAGATTATTCATTTTCCCTTACTAATCTATTTTTAGGACGACAGATTCATAAAGCTACAAGTTCCCAAATAAATACTCTTATATAAATTGTACTTTTACAGAACTTCTGAAAAATTCTATTTAGGTTGGGATCTTTGGTTTATTATCAAATGCGGTCGCAATGATTACGGTTCGGAAAAATCCTGTTCTACGAAATGGTTTCGGAATGCTTTGTTTCTCTCACTGTACAGCAAATTTTGGTGTGATGCTTGTATTCGTCCTATGGGTGACGCCTATGACATTTTTGTAAGTAATTTAAAACTTTTTTATTTAAAAATTTGAAAGACGGCTGCCTCTTCTAGGCGAAGTGAATTATCCTCTCAACTGGTTGGGAAAATCCTAGGTCAGATAAATATAATGTTTTGGGACGTTTGTGTCTATTCACATCTATTAATCTCCGTTAATCGTATAGTGGCTATAACTTTACCTCGTCAAGCATCTAATCTTTTCAACTTCAAAAGGACATTATGCTTAATGATGCTCGTTTGGTTTATTGGCTTCTGCCATATTATACCGTACTTCTGGTGTTAGTTCTTCCTTTAGATCGAAGTTGTTTTGAAATTCACCTCGTCTCCATTGCAGGGAATAGCTGCTATATACGGTATAATGCCACGCAATGGGTATTTGAATTTGCTAATACTCAATGTGGTTTCGTTATTTCGACATATACGGATAACTATACTAGCACTGCTGTTACAGCTGTTATAATTATACTGGACTGTACTACCCTAGTAAAGCTGAGAAATACCAACAAGGTTGGTTACGTATCTTTCAAGTTTTAGAAATCATTTTCTATTTATAGGCGATCAAATCTGGGCAAATGGGCAGCGTTAGCATTCACATTCAGAAGAAAAGGCGTCAAACAGAAATTAGATTCTTTATGCAGGTAAAACATGAGATCACAGTCTATGTGTCCGCATATGGCATATGGAATGACTACACATGTCCGCAGTTTGTGCAATTTTTCGTGCAAGTTGTTTAACTAGTTCACTGCAAATTGTTTGACTTGTATAGTTGATGCGACTCATGCGCGCACGCGGTACACAATTTTTTCACAGCACAAAAGCAAATCTACAAAAATCTATTTCTAAATACAGTTTCACCATAAGTTAATTGGGTTTTCTAGTACAAATCATGAATATTAAATTACACGCGGAAAAAAAACTTTAAATGTCTTGATATTTAAA